AAAAAAAAAAAAAAAAAAAAAAAAAAAAAAAAAAAAAAAAAAAAAAAAAAAAATAATAATAATAATAATAATAATAATAATAATAATAATAATAATAATGGTGGTGGTTATAATGATATTGATGATGATGATGTTGATGGCGATGATGATGATAATGGCGGCGATGATGATGTCGATAATTTTTATTCATTTTCATTTCTAAATGTATCACCCTTTTAAAGTGAGGGACATTAATTTTTGTAAAGTATGCATGTGCTATTTCCCAGCAGAGGAGCTATTTTTTTCAACCATGGTGTTGTGTACGCCCCTTGAGGGGACCGGGTAGTGGCTGTACTGGTTACCAGTATGGGCGCAGATCATGGGGAGACGGGGGACACGCACTCTCCCCTACCCCCTCCTCGTCCCACTCACTTTTCAACCACAATGTAAATTTCATAATTAAAGTTAGAGTGCTGTACATCTTCTTATAGCGAGATTCCGGTATCTCTGCCCACTAACATCTGAATTATCTGTAATACACGACTCCAGTGTGCATGCCTTTATTATAATTTTGAGAAGTATGAGAAAAAGTATAATATTGGTTTTTGGCACACGAATACATCAAAGACAATTAAGTTTTATTTTCTATGGTACAATACAGAAGTTAATTAGATCTCTATCAATGCCGAAAATTGCAGATAAAAGATCAAGGTAATCATCATCAAAGACAATGTTTTTAAGTTTTGTTTTGGTACATCATGGATATTGAATAGAACTCTATGGTTGCGAAAAATCGATGATAAAAGATCATGAGAAATTTGTTGGAGCTTCATTCATACTTTATACTATATAAAAGTGTCATTTACGGCCATCTAGAAGTACTATTTCCTCAAATTCTCGTACCAGCCCATCCATGGTGGGGCTGAGGTGGGTATGACTCTCCCCCATCCCGCTCTTATAATGACCGGACCACTTGCAAAATGCTTCAGACAGCTATGACGGTCTCCCGCACTCCTGCAAGCAAGCAAGAATCTCCCGGAAATAAATCCATCTCATGTTTTCAATGTGTTTTATTATCAATTTTCTAAGGAAGTCACCATGTGTAGCAAAATCACCATGTGTAGCAAAATATAATTAAATGTGTTCAGAAATCTTTAATTATCAGTAGTGCAGCACATACAGGAAGAAAGCCGGCCAGGCCTCCTAAATATTTAAAAATTATGAAAAAAATGGGGTAAAAATGTATTGCGTAGCAGGGTACGCGCAGACTGTTGAATGTATGTTAACCAATCAAAAGCATCAGCAGCAAATCAAATTAAAGCGCTTTGTATCTAAGACACAGCACACATCGTAGGCAGGGCGTAATAGCCCAGTTAAATAGTTCAGTTTTCTTTGCTATAAAAATCACCTTTGTTGCAATTATGTCCAACTTTAGTGCTTCAAATCCGTATTTCTGGTGGACTAGTAGCGGAGATAAAAGAACAGCGTTTTGCAGGAAATAGCGGTAGTTATAAGGTATTGCCATGGTGATCAGACAAATAACTGATAGTTACACAAGGCCCCTGCTGAGTACGACTAAATACATTGATTTCTTGAACTCTAATGTTATTTACTGTCCTTTTTGTTTACTTTTACTACAGTACAGTATATCAGTTGCAAGTTTAAAGTGGCATGTACATGAGATACACTAGAGTGAAAAATGGTACTAAATATTGAAATCACAACACATTGATATCTTGTTACCATTTTCTCTCATTTTATTTATATAAATACAGCTACCCACTTGCATTGAAAATTGTTGTTAAGCAGTGAGTACAAAAGCGAACATAAGCAATTATGTAGCAAGAGAGCTTTCAAGCATTGTAACCCAGACTCTCACTGTGCTCGACACGCACGCAACCGATTATTTTTAGACGGCATTGCATCGTCTAGCAATCACAGGGAGTGGAGTTGGATACATTGTACGACAGTTGTGTACGACGCAGCAAGTGTCAGGCTTTAATTATACACGCCAAAATAGTTCAACTCTACAGCAGAATTGAGCAGAGGTACAGTCAATTCTTATAATAATCGCGTCATTAAGCTTTGCGAATTTATCGTCATCCACACAGGTGGAAAATTCCATCACATGTTGCTTAATTTTCAGTATCTAGAGCATAACTCAATTGCCATGGTTTGCTGAAATAAATATATTCAGGGTTCAATCAGATTGATGTTTGATCAGATATTGAAAAGGTATGCTTCTTTCACACCTGGTGAAACAAAGTATGCTCCATCAAAGTTTGATCAAATAGTAACCAACAAACAAAAGTCTGATCTGCTGTCACCTAGTTTTGCAAATACAAAAGGCAAGCCATGGACTTATTAACATCTACATTAAATAGGCTAAATATTCAAATGCTCAACTGTTTACAGAATGCATTTATTCTTTTCAGTATATAAAAGGTGGACACTGGTATAGACTCGCTGTACAAAATGTCGCCCTCATGGGTGCAGTTACCATCTATAATGATAAATACATGATTCTTACAAATATAAATCACTGTTGCCAGCAGTGAATTGTTAAGCACTATCAAATTTTCTATGACAAAAATCTGTTTGCCTATATATAGTCGTGAAGTGCCTATATATGATCGTGATGTGATGTCATCATGACCATATTTAGGCATGTCACATGTTTTTGTCAAATAAAATGTGATGGTCAAGACAGGGCCTTAAATTATCCTCAATCAGTCCATGCAGCTTCCTTGACTGAAAACCTAGGCAGAGAAAGACCAAACCAATACAGCTCAAGCCCCATAACTTAACATCGATGGCTGAAGTTAGGCCAGTAAGCACCAATCGATGTCTATATAGCCTTAGTGTGCGGACACAGAGTGGTGGTGGTGATGGGAACCGCTGCAGCAACCTCCACCGTGAGCGTGGGATTCTTTTTCCGCTAGTTTTTTGTGTAGCGTTTTCTTGCTGAGTATCTCATAATCGTACAGGTCAGGGTTCATCGGATCAAAGATGCTTGGTGATGTATCATCGATACTGTACCTAGAAAAAAAAAATCACATAAAGGCAATGTTGAATGTTGTTGATTATTGTTGTATAATGAGAGCCTTGAGATTCAAGGCAGATAATAAGTTGGAGGAAGGAATGTGAATGAGTGACTTAACAAGAGGTGAGTAATGAGTCTTAGAAACTTTTTAGGTTAGGGAAGGAATTATTAAACAAAAGTATTTCAGTGATAGGCTGCAAAATTGGAGAGAGCAGCTAGCTCAGTCGGTTGGCTAAACTGGTGATAACCACTGAGTGTGCTGAATAGTGGAGATCTCTCAGTCCCCAGATCAATTCCCATTGGTGCTCACCTTGAGTGTTCCCTATTCCTAGGTACAAATCCTGTAACAGCACAGGATTTTTTTTTTCTAACAAATAAAAAACATCTCCACTTTCCAGGCTTTGTAGTTAGGCCTAAGGCGTGGTGACAAAGCATAACATTATTTTAAGTGATTAAAGTGGTGCCTGAATATCAGCACACATTCTTTAAGCTAGAAGGGTCACCCTCTATAATAAGTTAAAAATGTAAAGAACAATACTTACTTCAAAGTCTTGGAATAAAAGTTATTTGCAACTTTATTTTCTTTGAATACAGTTAATACCACTTTTGACATCTTTGTTCTGTTAAGACAAAAGTTCATAATGAGAATTTTTAATTTTCAACATAAGTACCTAATACATATTTTATATATGTTACTCGTAAATTACATACTGATTAATGTTAACTAAAGCACCTAATCTGTGGAGAGAGCTAATCCACCTTTGCATACTCTTAAATTTGAAAAATTCCTTCTCTTATACTGTAGCTTGCTTCAAATTTTTATCTTGACAAGCACATTCAATCAAATAAATAAATAATATTTAAGCAGCAGGTTAGGATGCAGGCCTTCAAATTCCATGTTTAAGTTATCACAACCGAAACGCCACTCGCGGAGCTTCCTAATGAGACTTGAGGCCTACTAAGACGACGTTAAATGCCGTAGACCGATGTGATTTGTTGTTGTGTCTGGTCTATGTGAGTTCAATGTTAATGCAATAGGTCTGTATTTGGGACAGTTGCGTCGCAAAATATTAAATATGTTTAATATTCTCACAACAACCTAAGACTGTCCCTTACGATAAATTGTCGGGCTGCATCGTACAATGCTGTCTGAGTTGGGATTTAATTATGTGTAAATCATTGGTGTTTACGCTGTTGAATAAAATGAAGTCCAAAATTAAATAAAAAATGAAGTCACCATACTTGTTAGCTATCAGTTCCAGTATTTGCATCATAAATTTGCCAAGTCCCTTTCGCTGAACTTTGCTTTCTAGCTGAATTTCATAACTGAAAGAAAGTAGGAATGCATATAAAAGCTGCATCACAGCTTACAGTCTGTTGTATTAAAGGGCATTGTATATGTTATGGCTACATCATTGATGATGATTTATCTACTCTTCTTTACTTCCTTAAATTTGCATATATCTTTGCATACAGTACCTCTAGAATAATCTTGTATTAGCCCTTCCACAGTGAAACACCTGCTTTGGTTTACAATTTACATTAGTCTACCAATACAATTATCGATGCAATTGGTCAATTATGCGAAAAGGGGTATACAGGCCTTAGTGAAGTGATGTCAGTAACCCATGATGCATGGTTCAATTAGGGTAGGGGTATGTAGGTCATTAAGATTTTAGGGGAGTAAAGTCCCTACCCCAAGATGCATTAGTAGATTTAGGATGGGATGTGCAGATCATACTTATTGTAGTTTGAATAAACATTAAAAAATTATGGTAATGTATAATCACTCCAAACCTTCAAAAGATGAACTCACCAATATAAAACCTCTTCATCAAAATCCATATCAAATCTAAAATGTGAGAATCCAACTGCATTTCCATCTAAATCTTTGGCCAGCAGGAACCAGGATTTTTCATGAGTTATCTCCTCCCGCTTATCCCGTTCTCGCCATCCTCCCTGGCTCTTCTCATACCTATTAAAACAATGTAAGAACATGGTCACCATTTTCTCCTCTTAGCTAAGCTCAGTTGGCTAAACTTGTGGTAGCCACTGTGTGTGCTGAACCATGGAGACCTGTAGGTCCCCGGCTCAATTCCCATCGCTGCTCTCCTTGTATTTCAGTCCCATGCTCTCCTTGTATTGCAGTCCCATGTAACAACATGGTCACCATTTTCTCCTCTTGGCTTAGCTCTGTTGGCTAAACTTGTGGTAGCCACTGTGTGTGCTGAACCATGGAGATCTGTAGGTCCCCGGCTCAATTCCCATCGCTGCTCTCCTTGTATTTCAGTCCCATGCTCTCCTTGTATTGCAGTCCCATGTAACAACATGGTCACCATTTTCTCCTCTTAGCTTAGCTCTGTTGGCTAAACTTGTGGTAGCCACTGTGTGTGCTGAACCATGGAGATCTGTAGGTCCCTGGCTCAATTCCAATCGCTGCTCTCCTTGTATTTCAGCTGGAGGACTGAAATGCAAGTTATGATAGTGCACTGTCTTTCGGATGAGACGTCAGTCCCGTGTACACTATGGCCTGTATGCACATTAAAGAATGCAGTACACTATTCAGAAAAAAAGTAGGGGATTGTCTCCCAGTGCACTACCCAATCACCACCAGAAAGACACCACTGGAAATAAGTCTTCTTTAGACTTTCGTGGGTTATCCTTGGTCAGTACACCGAATAAAAATCTATAAGTATATGCAACTGCCCAGGTCCCCTAAAGAAATTCTAAAATGAAGCAATGGCAAACAGCAAACAGATGTAGATAGGCAGATATGAGAAGGAAGCCTTGGTCTTACACTGCAACCAATGACCGACTGACGGCTGCATGATTGTCGAATCAAATTCCACACCATGTGAGCATTAGATGACACGATGTCTGCTGATTGTCGGAGGCAGTCTAAACCAAACATCATTAAAAACGATCCATTACGCATGCGCCGTTTTGCAGCGTTCTTTATGGAATTGCATCGACCGATGACCGTCCTGAACAGTGTGTGCCCGGATGAAGATATATTTTCACAGTAGTAATAATAAAATAAGTATAAGTATAAAATCGAAGTTAAATCTACTTACAATGATTCCATGTTTGCCTTTAATAAGGCAAATGCCCAGTCAATCATGCACTTGTCAAGATCTGATACCTTTTTGGCTTCTAATACTAATGACAACCTGGCAACATTAAAATAAATCAAAGAGAGCTGTTTAAAAACTGTCAATGTGGAACAAAAACAAAAAAAAAAAACAATGAAAATAGGACCATACCAAAATAAAATTCAGCAGCTTGATTATACTTAGTGTAATTAAAATAATGCAAGATTTGAGGTATATTAAAAAAATATGGTACATTTCATTTCATTTTCATTTCATTTCATTTCTTTAGGCACGAGGGCCAAGGATATGCCAATAAGTGAACTTAATCACTGTCCTACGTGGCATATCCATTTAACAACAGGGGACCAGTACACCGGGGTTAACCCCCTACTCTTCTCGAATGATGTACTGGGTTCTTTAAAGTGCACACGAGCCAAATGCGTACACTGGGCCTACGATAAAGTCCTTATCCGAGAAGACTTGTTCCACCACCGGAACCATTGGCGAGTGAGCCGTTCGAACCAACGCCGATATTAGAGCTAAAGGTCACGGTGCCCCTGACTTAACCGCTCGGCCAATCAACTCGCCTTACATTCAAATCCCACAAGACACCCAAGATTATTTTTTCTCACAAAACTCCAGGGGGTTGGGTGGGAAGAGAGAAAAAAAATAGACAAGGAAAGAAAATAAAGGAGAAAAAGGAGAGCAGCATGGTACTCCAAAAGAAGCAATCTTTTGACTCAAATTCCATGAACCAGTGTCAAACATTTATAAAAAACAAAAAACTCTCAAGCACACCAACCCCCACCCCACCAATTCCCACTCCCGGTGCTTTTGCACATAGTATGATTTTTCTCTGGATTCACCCCTGCCACTCTCTAACCTTAAGTTAACAGAGCCTTATTCCATTACATTTCCATCCAGTAACTTAATAGATTTGTTCATAAATATAATCAATTCTGCACAAATTTATGCTTTCAGAGTAAACTCTACCAGGCTTACCCATTTCTTGCATATTTCTTGAAGGCAGTCAGTTCCACCATTGGGTCCTCAAGCTGATGGGCTGCTTCAACCACTGCCATTGACTCTGCATAACGAGCTTGCTCCTGATAAAATCAATATTAATAATTACTATAAATTAATAATTACAGTACTAATTAATGAAAATCATTGTTAAAAATATGGTAATGCTTACATGCACAACAGATAAATCTACAAAATTAAGTTAACAAATTGATCTAAACATTGTTTAGGAAATGTAATTCATTATTAATTAATAATTATTTGTTTTGTGAAGGGATTGCCACTTTAAAAAGTGATTAAGTTCAGTATTTGGCATATCCTTGGATTGTTCATGTAGTTCCTCTGGTGTAAGGCCTCCCCCCTACCGAATACAAAACTGGGGCAATTTTCTCGGGTGGGCTTATTACCGGGCTCCCCTTTTTAATCAAATGATAATTTAATTTTTTGGCACTGTATGCCTAATTTAAAGCCAATATTTGATGTTTCTTTTCTGAGAATATTTTTAAAAGTAAGACGGTGGGTTTTTGCTCAAGGAAAGGCTAGTACATGAAATTGGGCATCAAGTGGAGGGTTGGCTTTATACCCGAGGTGGGCTTATAACCAAGGAACTGTAAATCATTTGCATGTATGTAGGCTACCTCCTTCCGTTTCATCTTCTTCTCCTTTCCTTGTTTTGATTTTCTCTGCAATAAAAAGAAAACATAATTTTTTTTCGGAACTGATTACAGGCTGTATTACTATTTAGTAAATTAATAATAATAATAATAATAATAATAATAATAATAAATTTGCATATTATGCAGACTAGTGATTAATTGGTCATTTTTATCCAATCAGTTGTGTGCGAGGGGATACGACTGACCGTTGACCAGACATGGACAAATATTGATTGGATCAACCAGGCAAATTTAACATTATGCCTACCTACTTAGGCCTTAGGCCTAGATAATGGCCAGTGCCTAGGCTAGGACGTTATCTAGGCCTAGGGCCAGTATTAGGTAGCCTACTGTAACTTTAATTTAGCCTAGTTTGCCAGGCTAACACCGCATGGATTGACGGAGATACACCAATGCCTTGCTAGGCCCTATGCATGATGACTGACAGGAAGGAATTAACGATAAAAAAGGTAGGCTATATTTAGGGCCAGGCCCAGTCGGTCCCTAGCTAGGCAGAAGCAAACATCTCACTAGCTAGGCAGAAGCAAACATCTCACTGTCAATCAATTGACAATATTCGATATCCGACAAAACACATCAACAACAAGGAGGAAAGGAACGAACTAAAGACACACCGTGTGGTATGTAGCCTAGGCCCCTAGTAGTATTTAATAACAGAGTATACTTACGCCCATGTTTATTTACTATTTGCAGATTACAAAACTGTCTAAACTTAGTAGCAATAACAAAAGGAACGTCTTAACTTCGAAATACTGTACCCCTGTCCACGACACGGAAACCCTCTCGCAGTCGCAATGATGCCCATATAAAACCCCGCGAAATCTGATTGGACATTCGTTATGTTTGTTTGCTGTAATCTCTTCTTTTCTCCACTGAAAACCAAATAAGAGATATTCGGCCCCGGGATCGAAAGATCTGCGCAATGCAGAAACATACAAAATATTATAATAATAATAAACACTTTACTGTATTTAGTTTACAGAAAGAATTTGAATGTAGATTACAGTGTTACCTATTATGGTACTGATATCTGGTAAATGATTTTTATTGTGTCTGTATGTGTCTCAAAAATAAGTTTTTCGAAAAAAACAGAAAACAACTAGCCTACTATTTGTTAATACTGTACTGTACTGTACACAGTGTATTCATTTTACTTTTATTTATGACTTCATATCGGGTATTAGATTCGTATTATTATTTTTTTTTTTTTGAAAGAAACTGTTGTATGCCCAAATATAGTCATGATATGCCAACCATGTACCGTACTCGCGCGAATAAGCGGCCGGGCGCTTAAAATATTTTTTTGCACTTTCTGAGGGGCGCTTATTCAAACGGGGCGCTTATGAAAAATGAGTGGAACAGAGGGGGCGCTTATGGAAATAGATGAAAATCGAGGGGTTCTTATGGAAAAGTATTAAATTCAAGAGGCACCTATGAAAGAAAAGGACATTACGAATGGTGGTTAGGCGGAAAAAATAATCCTCCAGAGAACATGGCTCACAACAAGAATGCGTGATTATTTACATAGCAGCAAAATAGCAGATGCAATTAATGGTGGTGGGTAGTGGTTAGCTTGTTGGCCATCGGCCGATTAAGATTAACAGGGTGGCAGGATCAATGTATTTTTTCTTGAAAACTCAGATGAGAATGTGTTAAAGGTCGAAAAAAGAAAAAGAGGATAGACAAATATGTAAAAAGTGTAAAGTTGGAAATATACTGTCTGTCCAGGGATCGGAGCTCTCATGTCCAAGAGAAATATACTCATTTTGGTATTGACCTAAAAAAAAGAATGTGTTTCGCACTCTGCAGCAGTCCAGTATTGATTGGATTATTGACTTGCTAAAATGAAATCTTACGATATTATTGACGGGGGCGCTTATTCAAATGGGGCGCTTATTCAAACGGGGCGCTTAAGGAAATTTTCACGTTAGGAAGGGCGGTTATTCAAACGGGGCGCTTATTCGTGCGAGTACGGTATATGGTCATTATTATGGGTAATAATGCTAAGCGCATAGAGGTGTGATAATTTCTTGGCGGATGTACGGTAGTCATCACAAAACAAAATCCTTTAACGTCATCCCTCTTTATTCACCATTATTCTTGACCATACAATATTGAGTAATATACTAGGCCTATATACCAGATGGAAATTAACCATACAAAGGCAGATTCATCTAATCACTACAACACACTAAATATTAGTCTGAAGTTTGCTCATACAGCTATATTTAATTAAGAGCTCTATGCAGAAGATTCAAGCCCCCCCCCCATTCCCCCTCATAGTCTGAATAAGAAAAATCATTTCTAACCATCTAGAGCCCATCTAGAAGTGTCATACCCATAAACATGTTTTGTGCGTCAGCGCCGATCATGTCGGCAATGGGGCTTAGCCTTCCTTGTTCAAAACTGCCAAGTTTGGTTTACAGTGTCAGCTTAATTTAACCTTGTTATATGTAAGTTATAAATTGTATAACTTGAAATAACAAAACACCACTTGAAATGTTGGCAGTTTCATAAGAAATCTGAGTCAAATACTAGAATACAGTACAATATAGATTAATTTACTCCTGTTGTATGTACCTGTAGTTATAAATTATATACAGGTTACCTTGCTGCATCAGTCTTAAACTTTGTTAGTCAAACTTACCATACAATGTCAGCTTAATTTACCCTTGTTATGTAAGTTATAAATTGTATACCTTGAAATAACAAAACAACACTTGAAATGTTGTCAAATTCATAAGAGATCTGAGTCAAAAACTAGAATACAGTACAATACAATACAATGTAGATTAATTTACCCCTGTTGTATGTACCTTTAGTTATAAATTATATACCTTTGTGCAAATCAGTCTAAACTTTGTTAGTTAAAAGTACCATAGGAAAATCAGTCACAAATAAAACGTATTACAGCACAATCAACCTTGATTATCAACGCTGAATAGACAGGGGTACAAAACCCATAGAATTATAATTATTACTTGGATTTTCGGTATATTTACCATGTACACATTTCACAGTTCTGACAACAAAATCTTGTCATGCCATAGTGTATACTATAGAGGGCGCACTTCAGAATATTTTTTTTAAAGCATTTGAATTACAAGCTGCCAGTTTTGGGCCTTCAATGTAGCAAAACTTCCAATTGGTTTTTAATAACAATAATTACTGCAATTTTTAATACATTATTTTGTAGATCTAGTCCACTAGAGAAGTTAAACCAATTAACGTCAATAATAATAACCCTGAAAATAAATTCAAACACGAATAAAAACTTGTGCATGCTAACACAGCATTCATCAGTCACCGCATTGAGGAAAATTTATAAGGCACTACTGTATTTAAGGTTCACTTAATTAAAAAATTAATATTAATAACTACTGTATTATTAAGAAAACACAATGCGTACATCAATGCAAAAACATAAATAAACATAAATAATAATGCTACAATGATCTAAACATACACTGTTTCTATTGTTAATGCTATGTGCACTAAAACTAGGCAAAGGGAGGTGTGTGGCTAGTGCATAATGAAGCATGTAGTATTTAGTTGTGTGTGGGAGCAATTATGACCGAAAATTTTAAGACGTTGATACATTAGAAGGAATGGGCAAAGCAGTGTGTTTACTTGTTACAAGCAACCATAAGGTTATAGATTCAAACATAAAATGTGCTGATTACAGCTGCAACATTATAGAATTCTCCCCAGGGATCTGAATATGTTATTCCATTTATGTGTTTAATACAATGCTTGCGTTGTTGTCATTAAGCCATATATAAATCTAACATAAATTAATTATTTATTTATTTTGGCTTAAAGGCTGGTTATACCACCAAATGGCTGGCAAACGCCTTGTGAATAGAAATCAAAAAATTTTGCGGCTAAATAATAGTTACAAGCTACTTAAATTTAATAGTGAAATTCCAGTATTGAACCATCACTCCACCCTTACACATTACAACTCTGAGTCACGTCTCAGTAGAGAAATATGGGCTATTTTTATGAAACCCATCTAAACCTACACATAACAAAAATAACAGCATTTCAAATTCGACCCGGATTTGCTCCAAACATTTGCGTTTTGTGGAGTCCGAAACATAGTGCTGTCCATGTGTAAAAACATGCTTTATGGATTATATCATCTAAAATCTGGTAAATTCTTTGATGCCAGTTCTTCAGCGTTTACGTCTTCAAAGTTCCCAGTCAAAAACGTGTAATCATTGATTCACGACTCTTTCCAACTCCAACCCATTTGACTATAACAGAATGAAAAAAAATTTAATTTATAATCAGTGTACTAACGCCAACATACAGTATGTCAATGGCTGTCGGATGTCTGTAATTAGACAGCTACAACTACCAGAAGACGATGCTAAATGTATGTTAATGATGTCATTTCAGACTTGCAATTAAATTGTTACAAATATAGCACAAAAATACATTATTTTCAATAATAATATTTATGAAAGTGTTTACAGACCAGGGAACATTAAACATATCTACTTTAAATTTGATTGAATATTCATAATACAGGTCTCCATCTAATTAAAGCCTCCAATTAAAGATCAATTTTCTATGATCCCAAAAGACCAAAGCTGCTAAAGATCATGGAAACCCCTGTCCCAAAAGTGGTCTTGGTGTGAGACCTGTATATGGAATGGTGACAGAGTTTGGTGTGAAAATAAATTTATAGATATGTACCGTAAATCCTTGTATAAGCGCCGCTCTTGAATAAGTGCCACCCCAAACACAATTTTTTTCACTAAGTACCACTCTCGAAAAAGCGCCGCAGCGCACATTCAAGATTATTCTATTTTTAATAAGCACTACAGCGCTTAATTAAGAGTATGTTTTTACCCTGTGTGTAATGAAACAATTTGAGAAACAGGGTTTTTATAGTGTTTAAATGAATAAATAACACAATGAAGACACATGCATACAGTATCTTCATAAATGCATATTTATGATGTAGGGCCTATAGGTAACATGGGAACAGGCATGGAAAGCACCATGCCAATATCTTCTTAATAAGCGCCGCTCTTGAATAAGCCCCGCACTGAAGCTTCCAAAAATCTTATAAGTGCCGCAGCTCTTATTCAAGGATTTAAGGTATGCCAGGAATAATGTAGAATTTGGAAAGAATGGGTAAATTATGGTAAATTTGAAAGAGGTTAATGATTCTCTTACTTGGGCAATTGATTAGTTCCTCTACCTTCTTCACATAGGCTTGGGCTTTCACTGGAAGCTCTTCAAAAATACGGACGTTTTCCGTTGACGTCTTCCAGCCGGGCATGGTCAAGTACTCCACCTCAACCTCCTTAAGTACATCTTGGTGAGCTGTGGAGATAATACCATTCATAATAATTCTGGTGTAAGCACAGAACTCCCTTCTTATTCATGTCAAATGTGCCCATTGTAACTGGGGTAGGTGAGGCTCCTAATTTTGTTTGGTTATTGATAAGGTCCAGCCTAAGGCAATCTACAGCAAGTCCTTGTTCATACCGCTTTGCACCAATTCCCTTCTTACTTTCTGAACTTAGCCCCTTTAATAAAGTCATTGTGCTGCTGCTCTGTACATTTTCTAAAACATACACTGGTCATTTTATTGATGAGATTAACTCCCATCATTCTCTCCATTGGAATCCTACAGCTGTATGGCCACACACACTCCTCCAGATGGTCATCAATACTTTGCTTCTGTTCCCCGTCTTTATTCTCACTCACTCGTCTTTATTGTTTGTTTTAAAATATAACCAAATTATCTAATAATATCTACCTGGAAAAGAGTCCAGAACTTTGCCTCTGACTTTGTATGCAACTCCAATTTTGACCTCATCAAACACATCAAGAATATCAAGCTTGGTCATGGCTAACCTGAATAAAAAAAAAAATATAAAAAAAAAAACACCAAATAAAATCTTTCCATTCACTCACATAGGCTAGTTGGTAGCATAATTTGCAAAAATAAACTACATGCTTTCTTAACACATTTAATGGGGAGATGCAGTATTTAACATTTTATTAAAAAAATATAGAGTATCAATTTTATTTTCAACTTTTATTAGAATTGCTGTCTGAGGTAACTAGTAAAACTAGTAGAATTTCCAAGATCAAATTCAGGGATATATCACTTACGCAGTAAATCCATTTATCATTCTAGTGTAGTTGAGCAAAACGGTGTCCATCCACCCACATCGTCTCTTACGCTTTGTTGTTACCCCCCATTCATGTCCACGATTTTGAAGTGTATCACCCAATTCCTAATATAAAGGCAAAGTACACCATATTAGCATAAATATTATCAACTGATTAAATTAACTTTTATTCCATATTTAAGAATTGATTATTCTGAGGCTCAGAATATTTATATCACAGTAAACAATGCAATAGAAAGTGGGATAAGTTGTTATCAGATGTAATTCCCATCTATAATGAATCTCAAAAACAACAATATACTTATTATTTTTGTTATCTTAAATTAAATGATAAAGATTTTAGACTTACGTCACACAGTTCTGTTGGAAATGCTCCATCACCAACACGCGTTGTGTATGCCTTCGTCACACCATACACGTTACCGATACTACATGCTGGTATACCAAGTCCAGTCATCACACCACCAATAGAGCAATTAGAAGATGTAACATAGGGGTAGGTACCTGTAAGATACAACAAACAAAAATAAATTGTCATGTTCTAGGACCAGGGCCCTCATTGTGGAGAAGTATTCTCCCACACCCTTATCAGTGAGCTCAACAACAATTTGTTGCGAAGAAACAAAATTCATGTAATTTTGAATACATAAGCGTTTCAAAATCCCAAATTTTCAGAGCTTCCAGGGGAATCGCCCTGTCCCTGCCTACACTGACCACCACCATGTTGAAGACATTTATCCCTTGTGTTGGATTCATTGGCTCTTCTCCCCCATCATCCCCATCAGTAGTATATTCAGTAGTATTACCAGGCCAAAACAAGGCAACAACAGGCAGTGCTGAATTTGAAGGTTTACATGAAAAACAACTCACCAAAGTCAATGTCCAACATTGTTGCATTGGCGCCCTCTACCAGAATCATGTTCTCTTTATCATCCTTCATGGCCTCATGAATCAGGAATATGGTATCTGTTACCATAGGTGAGATCATTTTAGCAAATTCCTAAAAAAATGTGGAAATGGTATTTTATTATTTTGGCTAAATAAAAATAAAATATAGGTGAGCAGGAATAACAAGTATTACAATTATCATCAAAGGGAAGATAAGGAGAAATTTTGCAATTTATCGAAGTGGCATCGGTGGTTAAGACGCTTAAATTTCTAAGCCGTATAATGGGACTTTTGAGAGCATCTTTTGTGTGTGTGTGTGTGTGTGTTGTAAAAGGATTGTCACTTAAAATGTCTCTTTCAAATGATGGAACGCTCATGTAACTTTTTGGAGTGTCAATCAAACACATATGCTGTCCCAGAAATGCATGTGTTTACATACATTTAAGTTACTGTTCTGTTGGACTTTAGCAACAATATCCCAGGGGGCGGGGCTTAGTGAAACGGTCCACTGCACACATTGTGGCTACGGTCCATTGCACACACTGTGGCTACCTTCCACTACTTTAGCTGCCTCAGATATGCTCCTCTATATAAGAATGCTTGATTAAAGGAGACAAATAACAATTAACCTTTGTTAGTTATTCATCAATTTAATGTGCTTAGGTAGTACAAATATTAGATCTAGGTGATAATTATTCTTAATCAAAACCTACTTACCTTATATCGTTCTAATTCTTTTTCCGTATCAACTTCTAAATCTGGAAATGTTCGTTTAGAGACACAGACAAGATTTCTGAATCTAGAATACAAATTATTTGTATAAAACAAGTTATAAAATCGGAATATATATTTTAGTGCCTCCCACTGTGAAGATTATCTATATATTTGAATATTTTTATTTTATTATCTATGTATTTATTTATTAATTAATTTTTAATTTTTCACTTTTTGAAGAGTAGAAATTCTGCTTGTTGGTACATTGGGCTTTTAATCCATTTCTATTTGAATATTTTGTATTATCCATATATAATCTTATATGATTGCAATAAAATGAATTATGAATTATCTAAAAGGCCTCTAGCACCTAACACTATCATTATACTACATATACTTGGTTTTAAAAAATAAATAAATAAGTTAGATTCTTACTTTTCAGAAAATTTATCAAAATTTCCAAGAAGGTCACAGATCCTAAGCCCAGACCGACTTGCCTTAGATGAATATGTTGGACCGATTCCTTTCTTTGTTGTACCAATACTGTAAGAAAAGAACACAAAAATATGTTACAGGATAAACAAAATATACATAAATTAAAAGACTGTTTTAATGGTACTAGTCATTATTTTTTACCTGTTCTTGCCTTTTTCTTTCTCCTGCAATCCATCAATTTGTTGATGCAAATCAAAAACTAGGAAAAATAACATAGGATTAATCAATAAAATGAATTTTATATAGCGCCGGTATCCATTAGTAATGTTCAAAGGTGCTCCACTAGGTTAAATTTGAAATGCTTTCGAGAACAGGTAGGCTTTCAAATTTGTTTTAAATATTGACGTTTGTGAAGTTTTTATGTCCATGGGTAAAGTATGCCATATAGTGGGTGCTGCACAAGAAAATGTACGATGATCATATGACTTAAGTTTCCCCTTAGGGGTATGAAGGAGGAGTCTGTTAGATGAACACATACATAATTTAGTACGAGTCTGTTGATTACTTTTCTAATGAACCCTTCAACAATAGCTTCAGCATTTGTTATTTAGATATTGTCAAGTTCAATACCTAAATATTTTACCTTTGAAGATGCTTTGATTTCTGGACCTTTAACTTTATGCTCATATTTATCTATTCTTTAACTTTATAATTTGAACCAAAGACAATAAGTTTGTTTTTACCAACGACATGTTATTATCAACTAGCCATTCATAGCACTGTTCTAGATTTTCACTTAAATTTTCCTTAACTTTGTTGAGAGACTTATTTGGAAAAATGTAAGCACTGTCGTCTACATATTGTAATAAAAGAAGGTTTTAAACAGCAATTAACATGTCATTGACATAGCACAATATAACCATGGGCCAAGGAGGCTTCCTTGAGGCACTCCTGTATTGATGGTCATTTGATCAGAAATGGAATTATTAATCTCCACGGCCTGAGTTCTATTTTTAAGATACAATTAAAACCAGTTGATTGATGACTCCAAGGGCACCTAATTTAGAACACAACTTATGACTGACACTGTTAAATGCCTTTTGGATGTCCAAAAGGACCATTCCAACATGAAGTCAAAAACAGCCAATCAACAGTCAGAAAAAAAAACAGCCAATGAACAACTTTAACAGAAATAAAGTGTCATATGATAGGGAAACGCAGAATAAGAACAATGGCACAAACCATAATAGATTACACTGTAAAAGAAAATTTTTAATAAAAGCCAAATTTTATACAACCAGGATTTTCAATCTTTTCATAATATTAATTCCCCACCACCCTGTTTGTGAATCTTTGATTACGTTATACATCAAAAAGCCAAGAAGACAATATTATGCATATCCTTATTAGCACAGTAACACACAAGATACTCTTAGACTCACTATGAGGTTTATGGAGTGAAGTTGTGTTTAGTCGTGAAAAAAAAAAATCCTGTTACCATAACAGGAATTGAACCCAGGACCCTGGGATTGGAAGGCAACAAACCTAGAAGGCAAGCATCTTAACCACCATGCATATTCAATTCCTGGGGCACTATTATTTATTAATGCAGCTGTAATCAGTGAATTAGCATTCAAATCAGGTAACCACCTACATTCCTGGATGGAGTTTAAAAAAAACGTGCTTAGCTTAAGGACAAGTGCAAACAAATTTGTTGCATTACTGAAGACTTTATTCTACTGGACGCCCAAAGGCTTACAGATAAGCCACATTTCTATGCATTGATATACAGGTCTATTACCGAGATTTTTGAATCTTGATTGCTAGGTTGGAAATCATTGACAATAAGGGAAAACCGTTTTCTGTTGACAAAGATATAGCACTACCCCCATACAGTACTAACTAAGATAGAAGAATAACCCATAACTTGCAGCGTCAGTGTGTTGAATTGAATATGGCCGTGGTCCATGACTACTTTAGCAGCCCATAGAGAGGCGCTTAGTTCACATTATTCCACAACGACAGGAGCTCTTCCGAAAGATGCAATGGGTTTTTTTTAAAGTGCACACTGAACCTCCACTTTAAGTCCTTATAAGAGACTTGGTTCTACCAACTGAGCCCTGGACGAGGAGTAGCTCGCACCAGTGCTGATGTTAAGTATGTAGTTAGCAGTGCCACTGACTTGCCTCTTGTCCACTCAACTCTATACTTACCACCATTTTAACTACCACTGATAGAAAATGTTGGCACATGGCTTGTTATTTGCAAATCATACACAAATGTAATATAAATACCTAGATGAGCCCTGTTTGAAATAAGAAGCCGGTCCTGCCAATTCACCAAACCCTTTTTGGCGGCCTTCTCACCCTCTTCAAATAATCCTGGCAAGTGTATAACCACACCATTACCTATGTAAGATAAAGTACCAATAATAAAGTGAGTATTGGTAAGTGTAATGATTGGTGGAATACACCAGAGGGAAGGGTAAGGGAAAATATACATGTGTCCTTGGATTAAAAATAATGTCCAACCTCGTAATTCACTTTATTGTACATTTCAAACCACCTTCGGGATGGTCTGAGGTTTCAGTGTCTAATTATAGGATAGGCTTTGTATTATAGATGTATTGTCCCATGCCAAATACCCCAAAAAAAAAATCATAAATTTTTTTTTTTAAATTAACTATCAATTTAAACATAGAAATTAGTGTATCTAAAAAATGTAATTTTTTTTGTCAGTATTTAGGTGTTAGAGGGCGCGCTGCATGTTAGGGGGGTCCCAAGTTTCCCAGAAGTTGTAGGAGTCTCCAGGAAATCAGGACAGCCTCCCAAATTCTGTAAGCAAGCAAAAATCACCTAGAAAATAACCCATCTCCTGCAAATTCATAATATTTGCATGTTTTTGCTATGTTCAAAAAGCTTTACTTAACCACATCTACGGAAGGGATTTCTTCCAATATGGGACCCATGATGTTATACATAATATACTGGATAATGTTACCTACCAATAACTGATGTACAGTTTTTGTTTATGATGCCACTTGGGAGAAGATGGAAATCATATTCTTTGCCATCAGCCACCACAGTATGCCCTGCATTGTTACCACCCTACACCAGAAAACATTGAATGAAAAAAAACAAAAACAAACAAATTCATAGGGGGATAATCTAGGCATGTGATAAATAATAAAGCAAAGCAAACTCATGAAATACCATAAAATGTAAAGTATTTGAATTGCATGGGTGACACATCAAAAATTTAACTAGGCCTAGCTTAAATTTCCGCAGAATCGTAAATAATGCATATTATATTTGTTATACAGTAAGAATTAGGTCAAGGCCTACATTTGAGCAAAATCTGGAAATCATTCCCATTGTAATTAACAATAATTTTGCATGTGCATGTATTTTTACTAAATGTTCGAGAAAATATCAAAATTTGTTTATAGAATATGTTTCTTCTTCAATTTCTAATTAATTTGAATTAGAGTAATTAAAAATTTGATCGTTATTATTGTAACACAATACCCTTGAAAGAAAAGGTGCCACCGTCAATAATGAATCGTCTAAAAATACACTTTCTATTCAGAAAGCAACTATTCTGACACTTTCCTACAATAAATATATATTCAATTTACATACTGACAGCCAGGCTTGGAAAAAATTTGTTTGTGCCTCCGACCATGAAGATTATATTGATCAAATGCCTCCAGGAACAACGTTATCTTTACACTATTATAGCGAAACAGCAGTACATTTAGTGGTTTGGAGAAAGCAAAAATATTCTATTTATGCATTAAATTGTGATGTGCAAAAAAAAATGCCTCCGAGTTAAAGGTCAATGCCTCCGACCGCCGGTCACGTTAATAATAATAATAATAATAATAATAATTTAGCATTTATATAGCGCTCTTTATCGGAGTCTCACAGCGCTAAAAAGTATTTTAAGTGCTCACCAAAAAAGGTGAGTTTTAAGAAGAAATTTGAATTGAGAAAGAGCTGGAGCATAACGGATGAAAGTGGGAAGTTATTTAGTTATTATATTGACATATTTAAATGTAAAATTGATTTTTTTTTTGTGGCTGAAAGGAAATCATTTGTTACCAATTTTGCTAGAAGCCACCTTTGCTGTTTACAAAAATGAAAACAAACCCTGACATAACCGTTGAACTTCCTGTTTCAGCGGTGACCCGCACAGTCAGCAAGCTTGAATACTTCAATAAAAAAGCAAAAAATTTATACCAAATATACCTATATTATTGTAATTTTTCTTCTTTTTCTTTACACCAACTGGATTTTCAAAGATACTACGTGCCATTTTTAAACAACCGCTAAACGGATTATGATGAATTATGGATTTTACATCGCGGGTTAAGTTAGGCTTCTCATGCTACTGAGAGGGCGCTAAGTAGGGCTACAATTTGGCTAAGCTCCCTCGAGGTGAAATTTTATATCATTTTTATCTTCCAAAGTTCTTGATCAATAAATTCAAAATTAGATTTTTTTTATTTGTAAAGGAGTAAGTTTTACTAATGTGGTGATTTTTTTTATTCTGGCTGTTGAGTCAGGATTTTATTTTAATTATTCATAAAAATTAATCATTAAATTATTAATTTTTAAAATTTTGTTTTTATTTTCACAACACTAAATAACTTATTTAGAAAAAAAGTTGTTTAATATATTTCGATTGCTATTACAGTAAACATTATTTTATTACTCTTATAGATAAAAGACTGCCCCAGCCAACACTACTGTACTTTAGCCACACTGTAAAGTAAGGCCTGTGAGGGGAATATAACCACCACGCAAAAATTAGGCCTAGAAATCCATCTTCAGATTTTGCTGAAAATTAGGCTTTGACCTAATCTTGTTATAATCAATGTATTATGCAGTACAGTAGTTACGATTCTGTGCACCTAATTTCCTAGCGATTTTCTGCACAAATTTGAGCTACTTTTTGAGGTATCATCGCAATTAAAAACCTTTACAGTATGGTACTTTTTATCTTAAATATCTACTAAAAAAAATCATATTTTTACAATACATGGTGATGGTGTAGGCCCAGGGCCTACAGTACAGCCTATGATGAGTAACTAAAATTCTAAAGTAGGGGCCTAGGGCCTAGTTAGAACATTATTACAATGGTCCTAGGCTAGGCCTATATATTATAAATAACAACTCTCTGCCCATCATCATGGCATAAGGTCTCTCCCTCCTCCTACAATTTCCTATTCATTCTTTCTACTTGTTTGACCTGCTCTGAAAAACGAGATTTTGAGTGGTTAAAAAAGCTACAATTTTTGCTACTAGGCCTAGGCCCTAGGCTGGTAATCCTTCACGTAGGTTTCAGCATATCTCAGGGGCCCGGCCCCCCCCCCTTTTGGGAGGTAAAAAAAAGAAAAAAAAAAGAAAAAAAGAAAAAAAAAAAAAAAAAAGAAAAAAAGAAAGCAAAAAAAAAAAGAAAGAAAAAAAAAAAATGATAGCCCACAACGCCTCAAAAGTTATTTTTGGGCGTCTAGAACACAAAATTTTCGCGGGGGAATCCCCCGGACCCCCTAGGCTAGGTCATTGTTGTCTCGATCAGCCCAAATTTCGCCCCCCCCCCCCCCCCCCTTTTTGGACATCTCTGGATCCGCCCCTGTATCTAGACCTAACTATGCTTAGGGAGTGCTAGGCCTAGGCTAAGCTTCTATCTTAGACCAGGCTATAATTGAGATAGGTGCCACTTGGAGAGGTAGAAATTCTCATATGGTTTTTCTAGACCAGTTTTTTATGGGGAATTAGAATATGTGAGGTAAAAGGGGTGTAACTTGAGAACTTTCGCGTGAGGGCGCTTTTTCAAAATGGCCGCCAAAATCCAATAAACTACATATACTGTATATGGGTAAAATAAGCACAGAAGAGGTAGGTTTGACCAACTTTTGAATATGTAATGATAGAAGTAAATTATAACTAGTTAAAGTTATTAATGTGAAGATTTCGGGGGGTAATTGAGGGCGCTTTTTAAAATGGCCACCAAAATTCAATAACAACTTAACAGCAGCTTCAATACCCTAGATAAATTCGTTTAATTTAAAAACATGAATGTAATATTATTGCTGTTGACTTTTTAAACCTAAAACAACATATTTTAGGGGTGTAAGCTAACTCACTTTTGAAAATGTAAGTAAAAATGCCCCCTTATATTAGCCCTTTTCTGTTTTAAAGAATGGAAAATATCACTAGAATCCTAAAAAAAATTCCAGCTTCCTTACAAATATCCGGTTGTTTTTTATTATTTCTGTGTGCTATACAAGGTATTCCAGACAACTACCACAATTTTCATGTATGAAGAAGGCATCAATTCATTTACTACATATT